AGGCCATGAAGATGATGCGAGGGCTGGAGCACCTCTGCTCTGGAGACAGGCTGAGAGAGTTGGGGCTGTTCAGCCTGGAGAAGAGAAGGCTCTGGGGAGACCTTCCAGCACCTTCCAGTACCTAAAGGGGCTACAGGAAAGCTGGAGAGGGGCTTTTTACAAGGGCATGTAGTGATAGGACAAGGGACAATGGCTTTAAACTGAAAGAGGGGAGATTTAGATTAGATCTAAGGAAGAAATATTTCACTCAGAGGGTGCTGAGGCACTGGCACAGGTTGCCCACAGAAGCTGTGGCTGCCCCATCCCTGGCAGTGTTCCAGGCCAGCTTGAATGGGGCTTTGGGCAACCTGGTGTAGTGGAGGGTGTCCCTGCCCATGGCAGGGGGGTTGGAACTGGATGATCTTTGAGGTCCCTTCCAACCCAAACCATTTCTATGAAACAGCACCGGCTTCGTGACCCAAATCCTTTGCACCCACATGGCTCCCATGCAGCCTTGCCGGAGGGCGAAGCGTCTCCCATGGCCAAACACGCAAGACACAGATCTGCACATCCCAACCTCTACAACCTGCCCCTGGGCCAAACAAATCCTCAGCCTTTCTTCTTACACCAGAGATCCATTTGGCCCCACAGCCATCCCTCTGCCCGCCTATGCCCGCTGCACCCTCCCACGGGCTGCCACCGGCCATCCTCATTGCTACTTTGCCATCTGATGGCAATATTTCGCACTGCACCTTGCAGGATGTGGATGTGGATGCATCTGCTCCAAGGTGGCTGCCAGCTTTGGAAAACCCCTCGGCAAGGTTTCCACCCGAGCAGTGCTGCGTTTTCTCTAGTTTTCAAGTGGGATGATGTGCTGCCCAGGTCCCTCCCAGATAAAAATGGTCTTTTCCAGGTAATGGGCTCAGCTGGCAATTGAACCAGTCCAGGATTCTTTTCTTTCTGTTTCTACAAACTTTCTGTGCCATGATTTCCTATAATTGGGAGAGATCCAGTCCATTTCCCTCCGTGTCTCCTGAGCCCACACTGATGAATCAGAGTCTGGTATTGATTAGGAATTACCTGGCTTTGTTTTTCAGCATCCTCATCTACTTCTGATAAATAATTAAACCATCTATCAGGAGCTTCACGCTTCTAACTAGCACGTGACCACGTCCTTTCATAAGCAGGTCGATTCCAGTGGATGAGAAGGAGTTTCACGATCAATTTGGTTTGTTTTTCATTCTGTAACATCCATATAACAAAACCCCACATCTATTCTGGTGATGGGGCACAGTTTGGCCATCTCCAGTTTGCAGATCTTACTACTGGAGATCATCCAAGACTGAGTCCGAACGCCATCCCTGCTCATGGAGAACTTCTTATGATTAAACTGGGAATCAGTGTTGACTTATGGCCTCTTGCAGGCTTTTCTTCTTTGCAGGAGCATTTCTGGACACTGCCTGAAGATGGGATACCCAAAGTGACTCCAGGAAAAATCTTGACTTAATTGTGATTTTGGATCCAGACCTTTTGTCAAGTTCAGGTCCTTTCTGGGATGTGAGACATGCTAAAACCTAACGGGAGAGAGGCATAAGAAAAAGATGTTTGCAAGAGATCTGAGACAAACCAAAAGCCCATCGCTGGAGTTAGGGGAAGAGATCTGGATCCCAGTTTGTCCGCTTTTCTCACCAATACCAATAGAGAATGAGGAAGCTGGCTGGAAACGCGGTCACGTGGAGGGAGCACGCAACGCTGAGGCTAGTATCTTCAGGCCAGAGACGTTGGAAGGAAAAGCAGAACTGAAAGCACAGGGACACAGCAGGGGATAATTGGCCTATTTACAGGAACTCGCTCCAGAAGATGAAAAAAAAACAGGGAGAGGTATTCCTCACATGGAGCTGTGAGGTATACAGAGTTATAACAGGCTCAGGAGAAGGCAGGAGTCAATACACCCAAATTTATTTGGAATGAGACAGACAGGCTACAGCCTGGGAGTCTGAGGTTGGACATCAGGAAAAGCCTTCTCTGCAGGAGGGTGGGAAAACCTCAAATGGATGTCTGGAGAGGTGGGGGATCACCATCCTTGGAAGTCTTGGAGATTTGGCTAGCCAAAGTCACAGCCAATGCAACTGGGTGTTGGAGGCAGTTGTCTTTTAAGTGGATGACAAAGGCCCCTGTGAGCCAACATCCACCACTTGGGCACAAAATATCTGCAGTTTCAGATCTGAACCATGATGGGGATGTTGAGGGCAACCACTGCTCCCCGCACCGGCCAAGGTTCGGACAGACGGCACAGTCAACACACGGCACCTGTGTGGCCTCAACTGAAACTTCTCAGCCCATTCATATGGTGCTTCTGATCCAAGGTGGTGGTGGGCACCAGCCCTCAAAGCAAATCCTCTTCTCCTCCAGCCCTGGGACTGATTTTAGTCGCTTCCCTCAGCAGACGAGCAGCACGAGGCAGCAGCGGGCACGCACGGGCGTTTGCCGTTGTGCAACACCCTGCCCTGACCACCACCAGCACTGGTGCTGCTGAAGCAACAACGGTGACCTCCGGGGAACGAAGAACCTGCAAACCTTCAGGAAAGCCCACGAGGGGCACCAGCCCGCGTGCCACCTCCCCTGGACTTCAGCCATGGCCAAAGTCACCGACGGCTGTGTGTTGACCCACCCATGCCAAACACCCCAGCACAAGCAGCGGTTACTCAGCTGTTTACCAAAAGGGCTGGGTCCCCGTTCCAGGAACACAGAGGTTTGCAGCCCTCCTGCCTCAGTTTACCGCATGGAAAAGAGCCACATTGGCCCAGGAAGGACACGAGCACTTCCTGGGAGCATGCAAAGAGCTCGTCATCACAGCTTATCCTTGTAAAGGTGCCCTTTGATTTTTGACCCTCTGAGATCGCTCCAGAGCTGCGGTGACACAGCACGGCACAAGGAGGGTTGAGTGGTTTTGGCAGCTTCCCAACAAGGAGAGGAAATTCCCGTCCAAGTCCAACAGAATCCTTGGTCATCACACGAAAAGCAGGTGAAGAGAGGGCATCTCACACGCTCCCTGCAAGCACGGCACAAGCACCAGGGTCATCAAGGGTCATCAACGGTCACCTGCTCCTACAAAACAAACCACGCAGGCTGGAGAAGCGGTGGGATGCTCAGGAGTCATCGGGGGGGATGTCCTGCTAGGAGAAGGTCAGGAAAAACGCATCCATGGGTGTGTATCCCACGAGTGACACAGGGCCAGGATGGGCCAGTTGCCAGGGAAGGAGGTCTGCTTGCCCACCAAAACTGTCCCTCAGGGCTGGGCAGGACTTACACTATTTTCTGGTTTTCACCCCAAGATCTGGCTTTAGTGTTCTCTGGGACAAAAATCACCCTTTGTGTAAGGAAGGATGAGGTCTGGATGCTTCACTACACTTTTCCAGCATTGTGCATCCCTAGGCTGCAGCTTGGCTGGGTGTTGGGTAATCTCCATCCCCTTCTCCTAGCAGACACTTTGGCCTCCCTTCCTCATGAGGACCTCCCAAAGGCTGTGACGCTATGCTCATTTACCCCACCAGAGCACCAGAGCTTCTCGTTTCCTTCTCCTCCATCCCTTGACTTGTCAAGGACTTGTGTTTTGCCAACAAGCTGGTGATCTTTTTCCGAAGTGAAATTTCTCAGCCAGTGTTTCCAGAAATGTCACACTGTTGACATTTTGTCAACCAGCCACCACGTGTTCTGCCACCATCCCTTGCTGAGTGCAGCCCACCAGCATCTTCAGGGCCCAGTTCACGGGTATAAAGTCATTTTGGAGGAGCAATGCCAGTTACAGAGAGAGGGACTGTGGTTTCAGGTTGGCAACAACCAGTTTTGGTGGAAACCTCAGTCACCAAACCTTGCCAAAGTTTTTCACAAGACTGACAGCTCCCAGATCCGTTCCCAGCATCGCTGCCCCAAAAGCAGTGCCGATGTAGCTCTGAGACGGCAGCTCGGGCTTGGGAAAGGGTCCAGAGCAAAGATATGAGGCAACAGGAGAATTCCTGCAGTGGTGGAAGGTTGGAAGGAACTCACTTTTTCCTACCAGCCATGAAACACGATGCTGCAGCACAACCTGCACCTGTGCTTGTCCACGTAGCTACAAAACATCGTGTGTTTGCTGCGTTCACCCGTCTGCTGAGCAGCTCGGACTGTTGAGCTTTGGTTTCGGGGCTGCTGAGCTCGGGGACAAGATCTGGGTGCCCACATGAGCTGGTTTTACATGAGGAAGGCTTGGATTTCCCAGTTTCAGACTTTCAACCAGCAAGAAGTGGGGTTTTCAAGTGTACGCGGTCGCAGGATTTTATTTCCTCAATGAAAAGCCATCTGAAAACATTAGTGGATATTTTTGGATTTAAAAACCACACACACAGACACGTTATTCCTTCCGGGTCACTAATAGCACCCGGGGTCGCAGGTATTCCCGCTTGGGACTCCGGGTGAATAACCACGTGCCCAACAAGTGAGCTCATACTCATTACTGGCTTCGTTTCTTCCCACATTTAGTCAGCTAATTACGCAAAGCAGTACATGGCGGGAAAGGACTTCAAACGAGACTCAGCTTAGGGCATCTTCCAGCCAAGCTGGATCCTGGCAGATATTTCAGGACATTCCCCCCCTTGATGATGGGAGCAACCCCCCAGGAGACAGTGAGATGCCAGGGTGTCTGCGACGCGAGCCTGTTCTCGACTGGGGAACGGTTCGGATCCAGAGTGGCGTGGCCACGCTCAGGGCTGCTGCTCTCTGCAAAAGCCCTTGGGGAGATGTTTGACCCGGGGCACGTGCCCCGGTGCTGTCTGCTTGGCACACCCTGCTGTAAAACGGAACGGTCTTTACCAGCAAGTCTGAAAGTTGAAGAGAAGCGTTCAAACTTCACAGAGCAAAACCATCACATTCCCTCCCAGAGGGCAGAAGAGAAGCGAGCAGAAGACCAGCCCACACGTTCACTTGTGCTTTCGGGGCTGGGGGACAGTTTCTGGGTGTGTTTTGCTAATGAAGCCCCAGAGATGTCACAGCTTCGGCTCAAGGCAGGTTTTGAAATTCAAGATCAGCCCTGTGGCCTTCTGTCTAGGAGATGCAAGAGACGCCAGCACTTCCCAGCGGAGCACAAATCTGTCTGCGATGCGCTGCAAGTGCCACCTTCAAAGATTCCTTATGGTGAAACTTCCAGCGGGTCTTCTTTCAAATCTTCATGGTCCTCATTCTCCAGCTGCTCCAGTTTGCTGGATTTCTCATGGATGATCTCCCCAGGAGTCTTCAAAAACCTGCAATACATTTTTAAACAGCTTTAAGGGCATGGCCAAACCCAGCCCCAAACCAGGCTGTAAATGCTGGAGCCCTTGCCCTCATCAGCTGAGCTCTGGAGCTCACCAGAGGATATCTGCCATCTCTGGGCTTTGCTGAGGATCCCAGTTCTTACTTTGCACCCAGGATGCACCAAGCCTGGTGTTACAAAGCTCAGCACTTGTCATCCCAGAGCTGGTATTTTAAGTCCAAACTAGCCCCGGGGAAGCAGCCAGCACTGAAAACAGGAGGCTCCTGACTTACTTCCACCCTGTCCTCTGGAGGTGGACACCAGACCTGGTGTCACTGGGGAACAGGAGGGATCTGTCCAGCTTGGGTGGGCTCAGGGGCATCTCCTCCAGCACCAGCTGGATGGATGCCGGCCCTGGGGCAGGCTGCTGACCCACAGCCCTAGAAAATGCATCTGATGGGACCCATAGCCTGGGTGTCCCAGCTCCCAGCTTGCACAGGACAGAGCCTGGACACAAACCCACTGGGGTCTTGCATTTGCAGGGGAGGATCTTGCTGGATAAAGCAGCTGCCAACGTCTGGAGCTCATCGCCTTCTTGTGCCCCATCTGCACTGCCCCAGGCAGCTCATTTCTCTGATCTGCTTCATCTCACCTGAACAACAGCTTCTGCCCTGGCTCCTTTTTGATGATGTTGAGTTTGTAGTAATGTCTGAGCGCTCGTGACATCTTCTCGTATGTCATGTTCATCCGGTTCTGGAAGGAGAAAAGAAACAGAGGGGGAGGACATTGAATAAAAGCAAGCACCAACACCTGGTTTGGGTCTGTCTGCAGCAGGACCACATGTGGGACATTCGAGGTGGTTCTTGGGCATTGCAGGCTGCAGCGTGGGTCTGTAAGCAAGACTTGCTTCTGGGTCCACATCCATCATGGTTTGCTTTTCAGGCGAGGAGAAAGCCATGAAGGCAACATGCAGAAGCCCAGGAAGGACAAATTTGTTCTCAACTGCATTTACCTTGTGGTTCCCCCAGAGCTGGGCAAGTCCGTTCGGGTTAACGACCCGGAAGACTTTGGCTTCCTTGTCTTCCCACTTGATGTAGGGCTCGTAGCGGCTGTCGGAAAGGAGCTGGTACACATAATCCCACAGCAACCTGCAGTCTGAGCATCAGGGGAGAATAAACAGTCACAGAGCTCCCACTAAGGCACCCACGCCCCAGCGAGGGTCGGTCAGCAACAGCGCTGCACATGTCAGCAGTGATAATAAAGATAAGAAGAACCCAGAGCTCGTGCTCAGCGCTTTGATTGCTAGACCTCAAAACTCTAGCGGGAAGTACAATCTTTCAAGTGGGGAAACTGAGACAGGGATGCACGCACTGATCCGTGGAATACATTGAAGGGGAACAGATGGGCAGACAGGGCCAAGAACAATCTCATTTCCCCAAGGAATCAGGATGTAAATTCCTATTTACCTGCAATTTTCCCATCCACTGGGGCCAACGGGGCTGTAGGAAAAGAGCAGATGGCATCTGCCTTGCAGCTGCCCTCCAAGCTGTGATGGGAGAGGTTCAGGGGCACCGTGTGGCTGCAGGACACAGGCTGTTCTGCACAACCCAGGCAGGAGGAAACAGCAACTGGGGCAGCCTTGGCACTACAGTCTGCTCCTGAAAAACAAAAAACAAACCCTACGGTGCAATACATCAAGTCCCAGGAGATCCTCCAAAGCCCTGACACAGGTGGGGAGGGACCACCCAGGTTGGTTATCAGCCTAGCACCAGCCCAGGCAGAGAAAGCAGGTGCTGAGGACAACCCAGGCAGGAGCAGCAGAAGGTCCAAGGGAACTAGAGGAGATGCCAAGTAGCATCAGATGCAGAAGAGCTAGAATAGGAGAATGTACCAGAGTATAGACACTCTCTTGTAAACCATTATGGGGGCTTAAGGTGTTCATCACCTAAGCAAGTAAAAGAGCTCAGGAAAGCACACCCAGATCCACCTCAAGGCAAAGCCAACCACCAATACAAACCTATCCCCACACTAATTCCTACCTAGGCCCCACAAAGAGCACTAATGAGCCTCACTGGCCCTGACCAGCTTCACCTGGCACCTTTCCCCACCCATTGCCCCAGGAGCTCTATTTAACTCAGTCCTGACCCCAAATCCTTTCTAAGCTATGCTGCAGGAGGACTGGTCTGCAGTCATGGCCATGCCTCTACCTGGCTATTAACCCCTGCCCTGATCCAGATCTCAACTTGCAGGTAGACTTCTTAGTAAAGCCATAGCCTTGCTTGGCTACCATGGACCCACCTGGTGATCCCTAGACCTGATTCTGACCAGACCTGCTTCATCACCACAAGCTTCTTTGATGAACCTGGACTTTGTTGCACCTGGCTGCTGTCTCCAGGACTGTCCTGCTTGCCTGGCTGAGGTACTGTGGGATGGGTTCAGCTGGCTGAGGTACTGTGGGATGGGTTCAGCTGGCTGAGCTTCAAGCCCCAGATGTGCGCAACCCACTGTAGCTGAGGGTGGGACAGCTTGATGGACAGCTGCCATCCTCCATCATACCTTCCTCTATGCTGCTGGCCTCCCTGAAGGGTGAGTTCAGCAGAGGGCTGCACACCAGAGCTCTTCTTTGAGTCTTAATGTATTGAAGTATTTCATATAACACATCACCTATAAGGAATAAAAGTCTCCTCAGATGGTTTTTTACTACAGTAGAGATTCTCTCCATTGATGTTGTTGCTTATATTTCTGTGCTACAGAGTAAGAGGTTATTCCCCATCCCAAAGCATTTGCAGTCCAGATGGACTAAAGGAAGAAAGAAATTCATCCTTGTCTCCAGCATTCCCCATCCCAAAGCATTTGCAGTCCAGACGGACTAAAGGAAGAAAGAAACTCATCCTTGTCTCCAGGACCCAACTGGCCAGGTAGGGCTAAAGCCTGGTCTGCTGGGACCCATCCAGCCCCTCTCAGCAGACCACAGCTTGTGCTGTACCTGGATGGTCCTCAGAAACACCCTCGCACTTGGTCTAACCTGAGCTCGGAGCTCGGTGTCTGAAGTCATCCTTGGTGAGGATGCACAGGGCTTTGCCGTTCATTTCAAACTTGCTTTTGTCCGTTTGCCGAAGGGAATACTCTTTCTCAGCCCATCTGAGCCAGTGGATCACGTCGTCCTTGCTCCACAGCGAGGGCTGGATTCCTGAAACCAGGGGCAGCCTCTGAAACAACTCAGTCTCCATCTTCAAAACTGCTGAGGGGCAGGGTGGGACTCTGGTCTTCTCTGTCACCAAACTTTCCCTCTATATTAAGTACTCACAGGTTGGAACACCCCAAAGAGAAAATGAACCCTGAGGACTGGTCAATCTTGGCCCCCTTGAGAGCAGGGAATGGTCCTTGGGTGGGACACCATGACCATACCCACCATGTCCCACCCTTTAGGCGGTGTTGACCTGCTCAACAGCTACTCACTCAGCCTGCCTGGAAGCTTGAAGATCTCCTCCTCGCCGATGGATGTGTGTCTGGCCTGGGACAGAGCTGGTAACGAAGCTGTGACCATGGGGCTGGAAGAGCTGACTGCCACTTTACCCTGGGGAAATGAGATCAAATGCATCAGTGGGGGGAAATTCCCAGCTCTGGTCCTGCCTTTGCCTTGGAGAAGCCTCCACCGCAGTAAACACTGCTTAAACAGTTTCTAACTGGTTTTTCATGATGTGCTGCTGTCTGAGGCTCTTCCACACTGACTCTAGGTCCTTCACCAGCCCCAGGATGAATCTCTGGTTGCCCAGAACAGTGTTAGTAGCCAGAGATTCCCTTCTCTTTCTCCAGCTCTGCTATTTAGCAGAGGCACCTGCCCTCATCCAGGCTCTAGATGAGGTTTAGCCATCCCCACTGCCCCACGGCTGCAGGGGAGTAGAAGATGGAGCTAAGATTGCAGAGTCTGCAGTGCCCGTGCTGGCTCCTGCTTCCTACAGGATCCTCAAATGCTTGTCAGATGTCCAGGGTTTTAGGATAGTACTTCAGTTCTTTAAAGTTGTGAAAATACAGCCGGCAATAGAGCTTAGATTTTTGTCTTAAAAACACTGTATGAAGAGATCTCTAACTTTTTGCCTAGTGATTGTTTGGACACAAGTAGAAATAACCATGCCAGGGTTTAGAGAGATGTCCTCTCATCTTGCTCTCCTGCCATTCAGTCCCAGCCCCTCAAGATCTACTCCTCCGTCTCAGTTGCTTGTTAAGGACCCTCTCCAGCCTCCCCCATGGGTGAGATGGTCAGTGCTGGGAGGAGAGGCAGCCCCAGCACCTCTGCCAGGCTGGGGGTGGGGGGTCAGCATCGCCCCTGCTCTGCCTCTGGGCCTTCACCCAGAGCGTGAGCCAGAAGTGAGCTCAGCTCCTGCTTTCAGCCCCATCCAGATCTTGAAACATTACTGGCAGCCAAGCAGATAATGATTCCCCTTAAGACTCTATTATGGTGAATTCCAGCAATTTCTCAGCTTCATTCTCTGGAAAATTAAATATTTTGCCTCCAAATAGTATTTTCCAAAGCGGTTGCCAGCTCTGGGTGCTTCCATACACCATTGGGCAGATATTTGGAAGGGGTTAGAGCAGCCAGTGTTTCTTGACTGCATGGGGGGGTTGAGGAGCTGAGCCCCCCAGAAAATCAGGAGTGGAGAAAATCACAGTGTATACAGCCCCAGCAGATGGTGGTTGGCCACGTCTTAAATGCAAAGCTGGCATCTCCAAAAACTGGGAGCACAGGAGACAGGAGCAAAGTGCTCCATCCCTCCCCAGGAAAATGCTTCCCTGTGATCCAAGGAAGTTACAGTGGGAGAAAGGCAGCAGTTTGGTGATGAGTGGTGGGGTTTTCCTCACCAGGAGGATGAGTGTTACCGATTTGTCTGCTACTGGTGTTTAATGGTCGCTGGCTGTCCCAGGGCTGTTGGTTTTAGCAAAACAAGCAGCTGTGTGGCATTGTGAGAGAGAAAACCAGAGAAACTCCAGTATAAATTCTGAACAGGCTTGAGAGCAACGCAAACTGCGTTTCGGATTCATTCTAAGCGATAAGCTACAGGAAAAATAAAAGTGAAAGAAGTTAGTGGTGTATTTTGTTTAGAACTCCTCTAAAAGGTGTTTTACATTTCTCCCATTGGTGCGACTCTCTCTTACAACGAGATTTACAGTAAAACCAGACCAAACGTGTGATATTTTTCTTGCTCCTGAAGATTTCTAGGGCATAGGCGACGCACTCTTAATTTTTATTACTTTGTACGGATTTTATGCTCTTGCTTTTTTTTTTTTCCCCACTCAGCTGATTTTACATGTTTCTGCGATGGCGATTCCTTGCTTCCAAAGGAAATATTGTCCTTGGAGGGGTTTGAGTGGGAAAGGGGGGTGAAAGCGAACCCCAAGATGTGCGAGCGCAGCTTTCAGCTCAGTCCCGCACCGGGGGGACGGATCCCCCCGGCTGCCCCGCGCTCCGTTAAAAGGCATCAATTCTCAGCCCCTAACTGGGGAGTGGGAAACCGGGGGCGGGATGGGACGGGGCTGGGGGCGGGCGGCTCTTACCTGCATCCCCGGTGGCGGTGCGTGGCCGCTCGGCGCTG